GCTGTAGAAAAGTCTTTTTTAGTTGCTTGACAATAACTTAAGTCGCTTACTAACAGTTATTAAGACAGTATGGTTTAAACGGAGGTGCCAAGTGAGGATAGCCTCTGGGAACGAGATCGCAGGTTGTGAACCTGCCCGACCGCTTCTGCAGACGTTTGCGTGCAGAGCCCCATCTGCAAACCCATACTTAATTCCGTTTCCTTAACTGCTACATTTACTCCTATCCAATTATTATCCTTTTCTCTCCCAACTCCTGCACGATTATCAGTTCACATACCGGGGGGACCCATAATTTTATTTTACTGTTTTAATCCAAGGCCGTATTGCTCTGTAGTATGTATGACACAATGTAGACTATTATGTTCGATAGTCAGTTATAGAATATGACAGTGACAAAAACATACCAGTGAATCAACTACGATAACGGAATTTAACGTAGATCGTGGAGAGTTTGATTAAACAAGAGTGAGGGTGTTTAGCGGGTGTTAGTCACGTGATAGTGGGTGGCAGTGAGATGAAAACTGTATTAGACAGTGGCGGGTGTTGGCTCGGGGCGACCACGAGTGAGGGTGTTTAGCGTGTGTTAGTCCCGTGGTAGTGGGTGGCAGTGAGATGAACACTGTATTAGACAGTGGCGGGTGTTGGCTCGGGGCGACCACGAGTGAGGGTGTTTAGCGTGTGTTAGTCACGTGGTAGTGAGATGAACACTGTATTAGACAGTGGCGGTTGTTGGCTCAGGGCGACCACGAGTGAGGGTGTTTAGCGGGTGTTAGTGCCGTGGTAGTGGGTGGCAGTGAGATGAACACTGTATTAGACAGTGGCGGGTGTTGGCTCTGGGCGACCACGAGTGAGGGTGTTTAGCGTGTGTTAGTCACGTGGTAGTGGGTGGCAGTGAGATGAACACTGTATAAGACAGTGGCGGGTGTTGGCTCGGGGCGACCACGAGTGAGGGTGTTTAGCGTGTGTTAGTCACGTGGTAGTGGGTGGCAGTGAGATGAACACTGTATTAGACAGTGGCGGTTGTTGGCTCGGGGCGACCACGAGTGAGGGTGTTTAGCGTGTGTTAGTCACGTGGTAGTGAGATGAACACTGTATTAGACAGTGGCGGTTGTTGGCTCAGGGCGACCACGAGTGAGGGTGTTTAGCGGGTGTTAGTGCCGTGGTAGTGGGTGGCAGTGAGATGAACACTGTATTAGACAGTGGCGGGTGTTGGCTCTGGGCGACCACGAGTGAGGGTGTTTAGCGTGTGTTAGTCACGTGGTAGTGGGTGGCAGTGAGATGAACACTGTACTAGACAGTGGCGGGTGTTGGCTCGGGGCGACCACGAGTGAGGGTGTTTAGCGTGTGTTAGTCACGTGATAGTGGGTGGCAGTGAGATGAACACTGTATTAGACAGTGGCGGGTGTTAGCTCGGGGCGACCACGAGTGAGGGTGTTTAGCGTGTATCACGTGGTAGTGGGTGGCAGTGAGATGAACACTGTATTAGACAGTGGCGGGTGTTGGCTCGGGGCGACCACGAGTGAGGGTGTTTAGCGTGTGTTAGTCACGTGGTAGTGGGTATCAGTGAGATGAACACTGTATTCGACAGTGGCAGGTGTTGGCTCGGGGCGACCACGAGTGAGGGTGTTTAGCGTGTGTTAGTCACGTGATAGTGGGTGGCAGTGAGATGAACACTGTATTAGACAGTGGCGGGTGTTAGCTCGGGGCGACCACGAGTGAGGGTGTTTAGCGGGTGTTAGTCACGTGGTAGTGGGTGGCAGTGAGATGAACACTGTATTAGACAGTGGCGGTTATTGGCTCGGGGCGACCACGAGTGAGGGTGTTTAGCGTGTGTTAGTCACGTGGTAGTGGGTGGCAGTGAGATGAACACTGTATTAGACAGTGGCGGGTGTTGGCTCGGGGCGACCACGAGTGAGGGTGTTTAGCGTGTGTTAGTCACGTGGTAGTGGGTATCAGTGAGATGAACACTGTATTAGACAGTGGCAGGTGTTGGTTTGGGGCGACCACGAGTGAGGGTGTTTAGCGTGAGTTAGTCACGTGATAGTGGGTGGCAGTGAGATGAACACTGTATTAGACAGTGGCGGGTGTTAGCTCGGGGCGACCACGAGTGAGGGTGTTTAGCGTGTGTTAGTCACGTGGTAGTGGGTGGCAGTGAGATGAACACTGTATAAGACAGTGGCGGGTGTTGGCTCGGGGCGACCACGAGTGAGGGTGTTTAGCGTGTGTTAGTCACGTGGTAGTGGGTGGCAGTGAGATGAACACTGTATTAGACAGTGGCGGTTGTTGGCTCGGGGCGACCACGAGTGAGGGTGTTTAGCGTGTGTTAGTCACGTGGTAGTGGGTGGCAGTGAGATGAACACTGTACTAGACAGTGGCGGGTGTTGGCTCAGGGCGACCACGAGTGAGGGTGTTTAGCGTGTGTTAGTCACGTGATAGTGGGTGGCAGTGAGATGAACACTGTATTAGACAGTGGCGGGTGTTGGCTCGGGGCGACCACGAGTGAGGGTGTTTTGCGTGTGTTAGTCACGTGGTAGTGGGTGGTAGTGAGATGAACACTGTATTAGACAGTGGCGGGTGTTGGCTCGAGGCGACCACGAGTGAGGGTGTTTAGCGTGTGTTAGTCACGTGGTAGTGAGATGAACACTGTATTAGACAGTGGCGGGTGTTGGCTCTGGGCGACCACGAGTGAGGGTGTTTAGCGGGTGTTAGTCACGTGGTAGTGAGATGAACACTGTATTAGACAGTGGCGGGTGTTGGCTCTGGGCGACCACGAGTGAGGGTGTTTAGCGTGTGTTAGTCACGTGGTAGTGAGATGAACACTGTATTAGACAGTGGCGGGTGTTGGCTCTGGGCGACCACGAGTGAGGGTGTTTAGCGGGTGTTAGTGCCGTGGTAGTGAGATGAACACTGTATTAGACAGTGGCGGGTGTTGGCTCGGGGCGACCACGAGTGAGGGTGTTTAGCGGGTGTTAGTCACGTGGTAGTGGGTGGCAGAGAGATGAACACTGTATTAGACAGTGGCGGGTGTTGGCTCGAGGCGACCACGAATGAGGGTGTTTAGCGTGTGTTAGTCACGTGGTAGTGAGATGAACACTGTATTAGACAGTGGCAGGTGACAGGTGTAGGCTCGGGGCGACCACGAGTGAGGGTGTTTAGCGTGTGTTAGTCACGTGGTAGTGGGTGGCAGAGCGATGAACACTGTATTAGACAGTGCAGGTTTTGGCTCGAGGCGACCACGAGTGAGGGTGTTTAGCGTGTGTTAGTCACGTGATAGTGGGTGGCAGTGAGATGAACACTGTATTAGACAGTGGCAGGTGACAGGTGTAGGCTCGGAGCGACCACGAGTGAGGGTGTTTAGCGTGTGTTAGTCACGTGGTAGTGAGATGAACACTGTATTAGACAGTGGCGGGTGTTGGCTCGAGGCGACCACGAGTGAGGGTGTTTAGCGTGTGTTAGTCACGTGGTAGTGAGATGAACACTGTATTAGACAGTGGCGGTTGTTGGCTCGGGGCGACCACGAGTGAGGGTGTTTTGCGTGTGTTAGTCACGTGGTAGTGGGTGGTAGTGAGATGAACACTGTATTAGACAGTGGCGGGTGTTGGCTCGAGGCGACCACGAGTGAGGGTGTTTAGCGTGTGTTAGTCACGTGGTAGTGAGATGAACACTGTATTAGACAGTGGCGGGTGTTGGCTCGGGGCGACCACGAGTGAGGGTGTTTTGCGTGTGTTAGTCACGTGGTAGTGGGTGGTAGTGAGATGAACACTGTATTAGACAGTGGCGGGTGTTGGCTCGAGGCGACCAGGAGTGAGGGTGTTTAGCGTGTGTTAGTCACGTGGTAGTGAGATGAACACTGTATTAGACAGTGGCGGGTGTTGGCTCTGGGCGACCACGAGTGAGGGTGTTTAGCGGGTGTTAGTGCCGTGGTAGTGAGATGAACACTGTATTAGACAGTGGCGGGTGTTGGCTCGAGGCGACCACGAGTGAGGGTGTTTAGCGTGTGTTAGTCACGTGGTAGTGAGATGAACACTGTATTAGACAGTGGCGGGTGTTGGCTCTGGGCGACCACGAGTGAGGGTGTTTAGCGGGTGTTAGTCACGTGGTAGTGAGATGAACACTGTATTAGACAGTGGCGGGTGTTGGCTCTGGGCGACCACGAGTGAGGGTGTTTAGCGGGTGTTAGTGCCGTGGTAGTGGGTGGCAGTGAGATGAACACTGAATTAGACAGTGGCGGGTGTTGGCTCGAGGCGACCACGAGTGAGGGTGTTTAGCGTGTGTTAGTCACGTGGTAGTGAGATGAACACTGTATTAGACAGTGGCGGGTGTTGGCTCTGGGCGACCACGAGTGAGGGTGTTTAGCGGGTGTTAGTGCCGTGGTAGTGGGTGGCAGTGAGATGAACACTGAATTAGACAGTGGCGGGTGTTGGCTCTGGGCGACCACGAGTGAGGGTGTTTAGCGTGTGTTAGTCACGTGGTAGTGAGATGAACACTGTATTAGACAGTGGCGGGTGTTGGCTCTGGGCGACCACGAGTGAGGGTGTTTAGCGGGTGTTAGTCACGTGGTAGTGGGTATCAGTGAGATGAACACTGTACTAGACAGTGGCGGGTGTTGGCTCGGGGCGACCACGAGTGAGGGTGTTTAGCGTGTGTTAGTGCCGTGGTAGTGGGTGGCAGTGAGATGAACACTGAATTAGACAGTGGCGGGTGTTGGCTCGAGGCGACCACGAGTGAGGGTGTTTAGCGTGTGTTAGTCACGTGGTAGTGAGATGAACACTGTTAGACAGTGGCGGGTGTCGGCTCGGGGCGACCACGAGTGAGGGTGTTTAGCGTGTGTTAGTGCCGTGGTAGTGGGTGGCAGTGAGATGAACACTGAATTAGACAGTGGCGGGTGTTGGCTCGAGGCGACCACGAGTGAGGGTGTTTAACGTGTGCCTGGCACGAGAGCCGCTTCTTGTATCTACACTTATCACATACCTGTTATTTACACACTTTTTTTGTTTCAGAGATCGTTCACGCTTATTCTTCAAGCATTAGACCACAACAACTATACGGTGCCTGGTAAGTGTACATTTTTTAATGCCCCTTCCAAATTGAGCCCTAATGTTGTACTTTGAATATTTTATTCTTTATCCATACACAATAAAAAAGTGAAATCTTCAAAAAATAAGTGATAGTATAAATTAGTGCCAGATACAAGCGGCCACTTGTCACTGTTATCGCCTGGAACCTTTTATCACCTCATCTGGTCTCAGAGAGAGCTACCTCTCTCTGATGTGTCACACAATAGCAGCCGTGGCCACCCACCCAAGATACCGTGTAATATGCGTGGTATAGCAGAGTAGCGCCAGATACAAGCGGTCACTTGTCACTGTTATCGCCTGGAACCTGTTACTGTATCACCTCATCTGATCTCAGAGAGAGCTACCTTTGATGTGTCACACAATAGCGGCCGTGACCACCCACCCAAGATACCGTGTAAAATGCGTGGTATAGCAAAGTAGCGCCAGATGCAAGCGGTTATTTGTCACTGTTATCGCCTGGAACCTGTTATCACCTCATCTGATCCCAGAGAGAGAGAGAGAGAGAGAGAGAGAGAGAGCTTCCTCTGGAGTGTCACACAATAGCGGCTGTGGCCACCCACCAAAGATACTGTGTAATATGCGCATAATGATCTAATAGTTGCCTGTTTTGCATAAACAGCTAGTTTACAAGCGAACCGAGCTTTTCGAGACATATTCAAATGCTGGCGAGGACCGTTACGTCCCCAGTTCCATTGCCAAATTGGCCAAGACGTATAGCGAGCGCAGAGTGGCCAGCCAATTAGATGCAAGCGCTATGCGCGATGCAGAGTGTACGAGTGTTCGGCCGCCGCAAGTGACGCTACCAATCTTCCTTGACAGATGTCACTGACGCCGCCGTATTCGACACGACATTTATTTTACCCGTCGCGTTCTACTATATATCATCTTAGGACGATTCTATAAATAATGCAATCTTTGGCATTTCATTTTAAAATTGTAATAATTCTTCTCTTTGTCCAACTGTTTGTCGGAACTCATTTAAGCGTAAAGATTTATAATGCATAAACTTGTATTAATTATTAGAAGATTAAATTCTAATCATATTCATTATGGCACTTTTAAATCAATAACTGCATGTTACCACGTACTAGTTAAAATACTGTTACGTGTTATAGTAAATCAATGCCATCTCTGCAATGTCAGAGATGACATTAGGAGCTGCCACTGGGCTACCGTGTTCGGTTCTACATAACCTAGTTAGCTAACAAGCATTACCAGTGTCAATGGTAATACTGCATTAAAGCTATAAGTTCTTACCGCAGATCGTCAGGTCTCACTTAGCCAGTCTCGTTCACGTCCCGTTGCTGTTGCTGTTGCTCGCGTAAACCACATACGCCGTACAATTAATGAGTACATGCAAACAACAATCGACATTACATACATAATGCATCGTGCTGTACACGCTCGCACGACATGACTTGCCGCACCTCCCAGTCGTCAGTCGCTCGCTCTCTGTACCTTCATCATCATCACTTGCGTTGTAAATCGTTTAACTAGTCACAATAATACAGTAAACGAAAAATTTACATTCAGTGTAAGAACTTCTTGGTTTAAATCACATATATCGTTATGCATAAAGTTTTACAAACCAAACTAGTTTTAATGAAATACTGTATTCATAAAAATAAACTACATAAATATATTTTATAAATTGTGAGACACTTGATTTGTTTTGTTATCCTTCTGTTTTAAGTTTTAACTAAGTAAAAGACTTGTTGTATATTCGTTGGTTGCCACTATCTATATGGCTTAGTATCCATCCTTGTACTTAGATGATATTTTTATAGTAATGAATGTTGTTTTAATTTTAGGACGACTGATCTCTTCCAAACTGTCTGTAACTTGATACAGTTCTTGTTCTTGCTCATATTCCTCTAAGGAAATGATATTATTCTGATTTAGCACTAAAGAGATAGTTGCAAGTTGTAGTGTTGTAGTGTCGTAGTGTTGTTGTAGCGTTGTAGTGTTGTAGTGCTGTTGTAGTGCCGACCTGGCTACGATCCAGCACAGTGTTAACAGCGACACGACGTAACTCGCCGTCGCTAATGAGTCCAGTCTGTCCTTCTTCAATAAACGATGATTTACTCGGAACCGGTTGTTTCCTTCAAAATGTCAACGTTTTAACAAGAAGTAGGCTTGCAGATTCGCGGGGGGCCACCTGAGGACCGGAACTGTACTAATTGGCATCTCAGCGCGGCGGCTTCGCCATAAATCCGCGGCAACACCGAAATCGAAATGTCGCATCGCCTAAATCACGGACCGTGAATATTCGGCGCGGTTATGTATTTTAATGGGATCGTTAGAGAGCGACCGTCGAGGAATTTCCTGAAAACCGGTTAATTAGCTGGGACGGAGGCAGCGAGTGCAATTTAAACACCACGATCAGCACGAAAGACTCGGCGGAGTATGCGAGGCTGGGACTGAGCGATAAAAGTATCATGGATTGGCGTCATCGAGTCACCCCCACAGCCAGATCCTACTATCACGAAGAAATATTACATCGCGTCACCCCTACGAAACCTCAGCCGAGCAAGGTACGCGTATCATGGTAATATCGCATCATTTTACCCCCACTACAATTACGGCAACATTCGAACAGCATAATGATAATGTTAGTGTAGTCTTGTTAAATGTTTTATTTGTGGAGCATGTACCGTTCGAATGTGTTCAATTGGTTGAGACCTCCTCCATGTCGCCGATGTTCCAAAACACCCGATTTACTGTCCTAAGCTCGCTCGGCTCGACCGCCTTTTGTTTGTTTTACAAACGCCCGGTGACTGATGGCTGACTGATGATTAATGGTGCGCCATCATATTACAGCATTAATTAACCATCAAATAAATTGCGACCGGTAAACGAACATCTGACAGTAACATCCCCGCTGCAGCGCGCCACTTGTTCCGTTAATGACGCTCTGCCACTCGTCCGATAACTTGTGCGCCTATTTCCTCACTGGAATTTATTATCCCGTTATTCTTCACTAATTAAATATAAATGACCAACTCTAACCTTTAATGGTGTAAGTGTTTATAATTATTGAGTTATAACATTATAAACTTAGCTACTTATGTTTATAGTTGGTTTTTTTTAATGATGGTGCATATAACTTACCCAACACAATTGATATTGATCGGGTTGCTATCGTTGCATTAATAGAATTATTTGGCGACTCAATATATCGAATGCAGCAACTCTTCCTGTTAAGCAGTAATATATCATTCACCAAATAAGTTTTGGCTACACATCTTTAGTTTCGGCGATACATTCTTTGGTGACGAGTCCTGAGGTAGCGAAACAATGAAAGAGTGGATTCGTGTAAGCGATTTTTTCCTACGGCTTGTCTCTGCTTATTTAAGTTCATATTCGTAAGATTTCTATTGTTCTGAACTACATACAGTGGTTGTGATTATTATTAATGTAATAGCAATAAAAGAAATTTTCACAGAAGATATTTAGGCAGAATTACTGTATAAAATGTACCACATTGTCACTATAACTATGTCTGTCCTTTGGTGAGTGGTGGCTTTGACTTTAATGTAAGTACACCTTAAAGACTCCGGTATCTAAAGGTCCATAGTGATGCCGAGCGCCTATTAGTCATCGTCAATGCCATCCTGGTGTATTGTCTGTTTAGAAGAGCAAATAGATTGATTACTCTGTCATCCCACTTATACGTAATACTTTATTATTCATACGAGAACAAGAGCAATTTGCAAACTTATTCAAAATGACAATATTTAGTCGTTTTATTGGAACATTTGGCGTGCTTTGTGGAGATTTTCATATAAACTATCGTGTTCTTTTGAACTTGAACCATAGCATTGCCAGCGACAGTGCCTGTGGAGGCTGGTCCGCTGGTGGCGAGTATGCAGATGCAGAGGGTCAATAATTAGCAGGCACAGTCCGCGACCGCTCATCAATCTTGAGCCACTTGTTGTGCTGCGGAACACGTTTATATACATCCTCTAATGTATGACACTCCAGAATAATTACACTCCCCTCGCAATAAACTGTTCCGTCTCTACGAGAATCAGTCAGTCCGCTCCTCTTGTACGACATCCGCGGTCGACGTTCTCCATCATGTTCCTTTCCCCGTCTTAATAAAGTAGCTGTCGTGTTTCTTGGGAAATTTAATTTGCGAAGTTCACTATATATGCATCGTAGTAGGCTAGTGCCGGCAGTCTCTGTTTCAATAGTTGTATATCGTTTGTAAGATGTAGGTAACGTGAAACATGTTTGCAAGATTTATATGGAATAATTATTGTACATTTAATATAATGCGCGAAGAGCTAGATCTTATATCAAAGTGTTCTTCAACGATTATAATGCTAATTCATATCAATTATTTTTATTTTTACTTTCCAATGGCCAGGAACCAGTTTATAAGAAATATACGAAGAAATATATATGTACTCATCGAAGGTGAGGATGATATAGCTCAAACTGAGCGTCTGCAGGATTTCCTGAGCTCTTCTAGAGCTCTGGCTCTGAGCCTTCGATTGAATCTAATAAATTTATCAGTCAAAGCCGTGACAACTACGTATCGAGTCCAAGTTCGGGCGCCAGAGATGGTGAATTTCCAACTCAGGATGGGGTCCACAGAACGGTTTATCTACAGTATAATTAGACACAGTCTTCTAAAAGTATGAATTGAAGGACGAATGTCAGTGTTTTGTTGATAGACAATTTTATTTAATGCTATTTTGAAAAAAAAAACATTGATTCTCTTACATTTATAGGAGGTCCTCTAAACGTAGATCAGGGACACAGGTCCTCTAATAGCCCCCGATACAAACCTGTGTGGGTGTGTGTGTGTGTGTGTATGTACTTCACTGTGATTAAAACTAGGCCTACGTTCTTTGGCACATAGTCTAAATAAAATATGGCCAATACATAGGCCTAAGTGTACGCTATTGAGGATAAAAATCAGGTAAGTTCTGGTGTTCATTTATTCGCAGTACGTTTTTAACCGCCTTAAAATCTGGTATCTTTCAAAAATATATAGACGAAAACTTGAATTTAAGTTAATTTTCTATGACGAGTTTTTGCAGAGATCAATGTATTAGCAAATTAGCTAGAGTACAGTGTACAGATTTGTCGGTTTTGCGTACAATCTACGAGCTCAACAATTTTGGTGTTAAGTCTTGGCTTGGCTGGTAGTATCAACTATGCCAGGGTGTAGCTACAATGACATAGAGTCGGAGAGCAACAGCTATCAAGGAATTGCTCTTGGTGTCCCATCACGGATCGTTTGCGGCAGAACTAATGCGCTCAGTCCGACGTGAGGCTATTCACTCTGCTTAATCGTCTCTCGTTGGCAGCGCAGTGTTCGACTTTTGTTCGACCGTTACTCTTAACTCGAAAAGAGCCATTTCACATCTGGTTCTCACCTCCACTAGACTACCGGTATTCCACATCATTCAGCAATCTCCGCGTTGGTACATACGGCTTGTAATTGATTAGGTGGGTGAAGATATACTCTGCCATTAAGTCTATCATAGCAAGAACCAGACAATACTGCAGAGTAAGCCTCGACCACTGCCGCGGTGTCGCTGCTTCTGCGTCGCTACTGGCAAGTGAAGTGGCAAGTTCAACCGCAGAGTTGCAAACCACAACTACCCGCCGTCGCCGTCCTCTGCTGGCCATTCTCTCAAACTATTCTTTCTTGCAAAACTCAACATAAAGTTATTAGTTTGGCTGCACAGTAAAAAGATAATAAATCTAAACAATATCACTAAACGTAACTTATAATGAAGTATGGGTTCACATGATCGCAATACGAATTCCAGGCTAGGTGGGTGAGCGGTCCATACTTATCGTGGCTCGGTAGTAGAGACGAGGCGTTCGGTTCACTACCAGCTTATAATAATAGGTTTCCCAAACCGGGTCTATTGAATTACTCCAAATTAGATGTCGTGAAATAAAAAACATCAGTAAAAGCATCCGAACGTAAAGATAAGGGTGGAGCGATGGAGCTGGGAACATGTTTGTCTATGGCGCATCACCTGCTACTTGGGTGGCATCGCGACAACTCTTTATCACTCCATTCCATCCACTCCACTTCGCTCACCTAATCCTGAGCATTCGATTGGATTATGGGATTTAGAGTAGTTATTAAAACCATTCCATATGTGGCGGCCGTGACGCTCACTGATGCTTTTGCAAATGGAGTGGTCTTCGGGATTACTTCTACCTTCTAATGGCGTTCTTCTATATCGTCTTTACCTCAAGTTAAATACAAACCCTACTGTGTAGTGAATAATTACTGTTAATTTTGTGTTATTGTAAATACATAACATAGGTATATCTTATCTTAGTTTCAAAAACATAGCACACTTTTTAGGATCATACTCCTATGCTATAAAGGTTTTAAGACGATACCAATGCGAGTGTGTGGGATATGGACCTCCTTAAGTTAATGAGATCTTGCATGGATACCTGGTGAATTGGTCACTATTCACATTGGGGGAACTGGACGAGGAGCCTGCTTTTTCAATCTTGCTTTTAAACTTTAATACTTCTCTGGTAGACATCTGCCATACCACATAAAAGGAAATGCTGTAGTGTAAATTATATGTTTTTATTGTAAACTTCTTTAACGTAGTCCATCCGACAGTGTCGATTTAAAATGAAGACCCCAATTTGTAATGAAGTGAGTACCTATTCAAGTTCGCTGGCTCCCAAGGTTAGTTGGTTTTTTCTGGATTCTTGTGAAAGCTCAGAAATAATAAGACAACTGAATTGTTACTCTACTCTATTTATATCCGTTTCAGAACGAATGGTAATATATCTTCCTTGACGTTCGCGAATTAAGGAAAAAGGTTGTCCAATAGAGTTCGGTAAAACTACATCTGTATTAATACTCTCTTATCCTATAGGTAATATTTTATAGATCATTGACTTTTTCTGTTGTCTAATTTTTATATGCGGTATATTTCAAATTTATATGATTATTAATTAGGCATTTAGTCAATGCGATAGACGGATCTGTAGTGTATAATACACACAGTGATGAATAACTAATATCGCCGACAACTCAGGTAGTCTGAACTAGTTTGCTGCAGTCTGAATTTACTAATTGAATACTTAAGATACTAGTTTAAGCTTTGTAATATTTGCACCATTGACGTATCATACAGTCAAAACTGTCTGTTTCAGAACGTAACGAACCTATAGAGGAGGCGTCGTACAGCGGGATCATCCTACCCAGCGCCGAGTGGCACACCCTGAACCACGTGGGGTCCACAGCCAGGATCACCTACAGGGTGCGAGTGCAGTGCGATCTCAACTACTTCAACTCAACCTGCACCAAGTTCTGCAGACCCAGAGACGACAAGTTCGGCCACTACAACTGCGACCGCAACGGCGACAAGGAGTGCATCGTCGGCTGGAAAGGCGCCAACTGCGAGATCGGTCAGTAAACTACTTCAATTAGTTGCAAGGGAGCGAGTGGTTTAGTTTCCCATTTGTAGGGTATCTGGATTTTACCATCTGTGCAAACTTTTCAATTAGGAGGCCCCGGCCACACGAGGCGGTTTAACCGCGCGAAGATAAGCCGCGCGAAGTTAAGGGCTTCGACAACACATTGAATCAAATGAGAGTGGCCACACGAGGCGAAGTTTAGCCGCATGTGCGGTTGAGCCGCAACATGTCGTCCCCCGACCGCGCGAAGTTAAGCCGCGTTGGAGGGGATGACACACGTAGTCTTATGAGAGTGGCCACACGATTCGGTTCGACCGCGCGGCAGCCGCGCTTATTGGAGATATTCTTCGGACATTTCCAGTGGTTTTTTAGTTTGTTTTGTGTATTTTTTACCGGTTGCGTGGTGTTCAAACAATGTTTGATACATATGAACTCCGAACTATGGTTTTGCATGTGCTCGTAAAACGTTTGGAACACAAAAAATTGTTTTTCCGTTATGAAGGGATGGACCCAATGATTTATGTTAACGTTCCAGATCACCACACGCTTTTAATGCACAAACTAACGTAAGTGTTTCGCCCATGACTAAAAAGAGTGAACTGAACTATGTTTTAATAGAGTACTGATACTGGGAAAACCTAACAGGAAGCGGTTCATCCGCCCCGTGTGGCCAGGCACTTCGCGCGGCTTAACTTCGCGCGAAGATAAGCCGCGCGGCTTAAATTCGCCTCGTGTGGCCGGGGCCTAAGGATAGTACTCGTTCGGTCCCACGCACTGCGGAATGGAGAGAATTCAGATAGTTTGTGGCTCTAACAGAATGGTTAGCATATCCTCTTCACTAACAAAACAGAGCTACGCTTCTTGATGATTGGCTAGAAGGAACAAACATTTGCATGCGATTACCATCCAAATTATCTTGTTTGAAACAAACGTAGACAATACTTGGGTACTAAGGAGACAACCCATTATGGAACAGCTGTAGCTTTTTTTTTTAATTTAAAAAGAACACAGTTGAATGAACAACTCATCATAGAATGCCTTTGAAGTTTACTATTATATTTTCTCCATTTGATTTGTTTCTGTGGTAGTTGATGTGACATAAAATCTGCAATAGCGCACATTGATTAATTTATATTATGGTCGTAATTATCTTGTATATTATATTATAATGTACATAAATTAATAATAAATAGTTGACTTGGTCTAAAAGTTGGCGTATTCGAATGAAATCAGTAATGTACATCAGCGCACCTCAGTCTGTGAAGGAATTCGACAAATTTAACTCGCGAATGGAATGTCTAGTTCTAGGAATAGTATAACCATAGATTAAACATGGAGTATGTTTTATCTATGGTATAACGTGTCAAAGGTATAACGTTTAAAGCACACCCGCATAAAGTCACGCTCTTCAACGTGTAAAATAAGAAAATTAAACCCGTCGGTTGGAAGTACTGATTCAATTTGGTTTAAACCTCAATGTAAACGAGCCGAGTTCGACCAATCTACAGATTCGGCTCGCTCGAGGAAGTAAAGGCCAGGGTGCGTCCATTAGCTCTAATAAATATCAGGTGTTTATTCTACACGCGGCCCAGGGCGACGGGCTCGGCCCCGACCTGCTAAATGTATTCATTCAACCTCCTCGGTGTGTATATCATCATTAGATTAGACTTTGCTCCCGTTGTGTCCGCGGGCGACCCTCTATCTCGTCCCATCTGGACAAATTGAACCGCGCGTGGAGTGCTGGAGACGAGATGAATTGGTACAGACGCCTACTGGTTCTGTCCCCTCTTGCAACATTGTTTGTTAATAGTTGTTTTATGCTTTCACCGCTTCAAGTTGTAAATTATTAGCACCACGTGATATACATTGTTCTTAATACTTAAATACAAATATTATATACACAGAATAGACGTCCCATCCGATATACATCTCTATAAAGAGAATATAGTAGAATGAACCATTCACAGAGTGTGCTTATTATACAGAGAAGTTATTTTTTCTCCATTACTTGCTCATACGGTGTTAGTTGATGTCGCGTAAAGGATGCGGATGCTGAGGTTTACAATCAATTGTACTTTCAGTTAAGCTTGGTAAAAAATTACGAATTTAGTCATAAATCAGCGTACAATGTCGTAGCAATTCAACAACTGCGCCTTCTTCTTAATAATTCTTAAACTAGCTACTAGCTCTATTTAAACATGGGAACGGGATGTTTCGGGTTCTCCATAGTCAAACTTTTAAACGGAAGCATGCCTACTATTGGTATAAGTAGGGGTTCTGCGATGGTGCCCTGAGTAAGTTTGATTTCAAGCAACTAGCTTTACATTACATGTATTCTACTAAACTTCGCAAAGTTGATTGAAGTACTCGCAACAATTCAGTCATATTGATTTTTAATGAATTCTAATACATGCTGATTGAACTTGTCATCATTGTAGTTGTGTTTATGTTCCAGCGGTGTGCAAGAGTGGTTGCCACCCTCAACATGGCAAGTGCGACAATCCTGGAGAGTGCGAGTGAGTATTCCACGTTTATACTTAACTTATGATTATTGTTTAGAACTTTCCGCTATTCATTTTAACCAATTCGCACCTCAGAAAGCATAAGAGCGAAAGTTATTGAGTTGCCCCAGAGGTTGTAGTGGGAGGGGTGAGCCTGTTCCCACCGTATCTTAATTCTACCGACCATGCTGTGTAATTATTGGGTCTACCAATAGCTTCGTGTTCCAGGGTTTAATACCTTTCTTAATTAAAACCCTATATTTCCCGTTTGTAAAAACGTGGTATGTGGCCACCCAAGTAACTCTCAACACCCGATTGGTAACGTAGGTTAATATAAATTGTTGGTGCCTTATGACGATTTTACTAACAAACAATGTAATCATTTGCGTCATCCTTAGACGTAATCTAAATTTACCAATCATAATTTTACTATTTAATATAGGTATATCAGACTATTTCAACTTGATGTGGACCTACCTAGCCTCAGTGAAACTACCGAATATTGAATCTGCCGTGTATATACTAGCCCAGTTTATAATCTCTATTTTTGTTCAGTAGGCACTTTTTCCGTGCTTTACGGGATACATATGTAATGCAAAATAATGTCAATCTTAAAGAATTCAATCCTCAAAATCTTCTTATAACATTATTTGTTTAAAGTTTTGCTAATATCTGTGAGAAGCCTTTAATAGAAATTCGTTTCACCACACAATTCCAAGAGATTAATTTAAAAGCTATGGCTTTTTCTTCGGCTCCAAGCGTCGAAGCCTTTCTTTTGGCTCAAGGAATATTATCGCAAATTCGTAAAGTGAATTTGACACCCTAAATCTTGACATAACTATTTTACTAATTCGCATTACATAAGTGTGATCAGCTAACACACCTTATGTAAATAAGTGATCCTAAAAGCGACTACCCCCAATAAAGGACTGACGAGAACATTGAATGGTTACAGATCACAGTGATGTAAGACGCTGACTGGCTCTAGATGTGGATGTGGATGGTATAATTGGGAAACGGTCCCGTGATGGATCGAGGGACTCGCTTCACCTTTATCTATAACTAATTAGACGGGTACACAGTCAGGTGCGGAATTAGGGAAATGGGAACATTACCGATCGGGAACAATGGCTCTCATAAGGAGACCGGGGCTATTAGACGACCGGCGCAGCTTTGTCACACCGACTCTTTAATTGGGATTATTAATCTCGCAGACGTGATTCCAATACTGGCAGTTTCACCCTGACTGTCTCCATCACAGCACAGCAGACGTCTCATTTCCTCCCGACACACTTACCCCGTGGACCGTAGTTGAAGTCTTGTATAGATGTAGTCGTAGGAATACTGCTACCTGACCTTATTATTCTCTACATTAAATGTTAACCTAACTCAATTTGTAGGGAATGAAATTAATACTCGGGCATTCCCAGTTGCATTTTAGCCAAGTCATTACAAAGTAAACATAAAGTAAGAAGATATAATATTGCGATACTGAGTAAGGTCGACAAGTTGTGAGGTGACGCGCTCATCAGCAGGTCTCATCATTCGCACGTATAACGTCCTCTTCTCTTAACTAGACGGATACGACAGGATAACGAGACAGTGTCCTTCATTAGAACGTGTTTCTTTCTTTTAAAAATCCCTCTTTGCCACATCCGTGGTGAAATTGTAAAATGCGTTTTATATGAGTCAACAAATCAACTGATAAATTAACTCACAGTTTGAAATGAATATTCATTTGTGTATTTGCTAATGCTATTAGCAACGGCAGCCATATTCTGTCCGACATAGTAGTGGAAGACATCCAACAATCTTCTCTGGAATAGCAGACGTCAGTGTAGCTCGGGACGGTGGAATCTACATATCAAACGGAATGTTATTTGTTACTTTTTAATTGGAACTATCCCCGCGCACGACACGGTTTGTAAAGTGCCTGCCGTAAATAAACTCAGACAAAAAAGCAATGCGACTCGGTTTTCGAACATATTTTCCTGGCCAGCTGACTTATAACTGACCAACAGAAACAAATAACTACTGCCTCGGCGACCATTACGAATCAAATCGGTTTCAATTATCTTCGGAAGTGATCCGAAGACAGAACCGGTCGTTTGAGCAATTTAATCGCTCCCGTCATATATTTATTATCTCGGGCACATTTATCGCGTATCGGAATGACTTTGGTGTACGGTCCTGTGTCCTAATGTCAATGTTTATTTCAGATGTCGGCCCGGTTGGCAGGGTGAGTTCTGTGACCAGTGCACCCCCTACCCTGGCTGCAAACACGGCTACTGCAACGGCTCCTCCTGGCAATGTATCTGTGACACCAACTGGGGAGGCATCCTCTGCGACCAAGGTAGGCTTATAAACAAACACACCTCCCCCTCATCACCGCCTTAAACTCGTAGTATACGAAATACGCATACTTCCATTAAGATATCAATTTGTTTGCAAAAATTATGTTAAGTTGTCTGAGTAAAATGCCCACAACTTAAACGAATATAACAATTTAAACGAATATTTATTATACAGGGTGTTTCAAAAATGAGTTTACCGAGTAAGTGTATTTGTTTGAAGAAAATAATAAATCCATTTTATTTATGTTATAATTTTATTGAAACTGAATTTACACTACACATTTTTCAAAATGCTTTCCACTAACTTCAGTGCCTTTTTCACAGCGTTGTTTACACTGCATTGATTTTTATTGTTAGTGTTGTATTCTCTTGCGAATTGATTGGCCCCAAGGTCCTGCGATCTTACACCGACTTTTCTATTTGTTGATAATTAAACATATTTTTTACCAAACGGCCCTTAAGAGGGTGTTGAATGGCCCCTATAATAACTGATGATCTGAATTTGAAAGCAGCCAACTCAAGAGAATTTGAATCCTTAAACAACAATAAAAATCTATGCAAAAAGATTGTAACAAGTGTAAAAAAAACACACTGTGAAAAATGCATTGAAGTTAACGGAAAGCATTTTAAACAGTTCTTTTACGTTTACAGCCTATGTGTAGTGTAAATTCAGTTTCAATAAAATAATTATAATATAAATGAAATTGATTTATTATGTTCTTCAAACAAATGCACTTACTCGGTAAACTGATTATTGTAACACCCTGTATTTCATCTGTGCTGTAATGCAGCATCTAGAGGCCAATGTTGGACTGTGCGCTAGCTCTACACCATTCCTTCTCATATTGAAGGGTTGTACAAGGGTTATAATGATATCTTAACACTAATTAGACAACATTTTCCAGTCAAAATTGTATAATGTTTATCGGAACCGCGTGTACGCTCAAGCGACACTACTTATCATTGCAATATATGCCGTATTATGATCAGATGCTTAAGTCAGAACATGAGAGACTTTGTTGAAAAAAGTTTTTGTTCGACCAACCATTTTTAAGGATTTAAACAGTAAACTAAACGCTTGTTGAAACAGTTCGACAGAAGTTGTCGAATTACGGTCAGACTAAAAGATTCTGCTTCTGAAAATTTTACTTTACTGAAATTACTTGAGACATCATAATAGTTAGTCGTAAAAAGTATTCCACTACGAGTATCCCAACCCCTAACTTGCATCCACAACCACAGTACAGTATACCACCAGACTACGAGTATCCCAACCCCCCACTTGCATCCACAACCACAGTTCAGTATACCACCAGACTACGAGTATCCCAACCCCTCACTTGCATCCACAACCACAGTACAGTATACCACCAGACTACGAGTATTCCAACCCCTATCTTGCATCCACAACCAAAGTACAGTATACCACCAGACTACGAGTATTCCAACCCCTAACTTGCATCCACAACCACAGTACAGTATACCACCAGACTACGAGTTTCCCAACCCCTAACTTGCATCCACAACCACAGTACAGTATACCACCAGACTAAGAGTATTCTAACCCCTAACTTGCATCCACAACCAAAGTACAGTATACCACCAGACTACGAGTATTCCAACCCCTAACTTGCATCCGCAACCACAGTACAGTATACCACCAGACTACGAGTATTCCAACCCCTAACTTGCATCCGCAACCACAGTACAGTATACCACCAGACTACGAGTATTCCAACCCCTAACTTGCATCCACAACCACAGTACAGTATACCACCAGACTACGAGTATCCCAACCCCTCACTTGCATCCACAACCGCAGTACAGTATACCACCAGACTACGAGTATTCCAACCCCTAACTTGCATCCACAACCACAGTACAGTATACCACCAGACTACGAGTATCCCAACCCCTCACTTGCATCCGCAACCGCAGTACAGTATACCACCAGACTACGAGTATTCCAACCCCTAACTTGCATCCACAACCACAGTACAGTATACCACCAGACTACGAGTATTCCAACCCCTCACTTGCATCCACAACCGCAGTACAGTATACCACCAGACTACGAGTATTCCAACCCCTAACTTGCATCCGCAACCACAGTACAGTATACCACCAGACTACGAGTATCCCAACCCCTAACTTGCATCCACAACCGCAGTACAGTATACCACCAGACTACGAGTATTCCAACCCCTAACTTGCATCCGCAACCGCAGTACAGTATACCACCAGACTACGAGTATCCCAACCCCTAACTTGCATCCACAACCGCAGTACAGTATACCACCAGACTACGAGTATCCCAACCCCTAACTTGCATCCACAACCGCAGTACAGTATACCACCAGACTACGAGTATTCCAACCCCTAACTTGCATCCGCAACCGCAGTACAGTATACCACCAGACTACAAGTATCCCAACCCCTAACTTGCATCCACAACCGCAGTACAGTATACCACCAGACTACGAGTATCCCAACCCCTAACTTGCATCCACAACCACAGTACAGTATACCACCAGACTACGAGTATCCCAACCCCTAACTTGCATCCACAACCGCAGTACAGTATACCACCAGACTACGAGTATCCCAACCCCTAACTTGCATCCGCAACCGCAGTACAGTATACCACCAGACTACGAGTATTCCAACCCCTAACTTGCATCCACAACCGCAGTACAGTATACCACCAGACTACGAGTATTCCAACCCCTCACTTGCATCCACAACCGCAGTACAGTATACCACCAGACTACGAGTATTCCAACCCCTAACTTGCATCCGCAACCACAGTACAGTATACCACCAGACTACGAGTATCCCAACCCCTAACTTGCATCCACAACCACAGTACAGTATACCACCAGACTACGAGTATCCCAACCCCTAACTTGCATCCACAACCACAGTACAGTATACCATCAGACTACGAGTATCCCAACCATCCACAACCACAGTACAGTATACCACCAGACTACGAGTATCCCAACCCCTAACTTGCATCCACAACCACAGTACAGTATACCACCAGACTACGAGTATCCCAACCCCTCACTTGCATCCACAACCACAGTACAGTATACCACCAGACTACGAGTATCCCAACCCCTCACTTGCATCCACAACCACAGTACAGTATACCACCAGACTACGAGTATCCCAACCCCTAACTTGCATCCACAACCACAGTACAGTATACCACCAGACTACGAGTATCCCAACCCCTCACTTGCATCCACAACCACAGTACAGTATACCACCAGACTACGAGTATCCCAACCATCCACAACCACAGTACAGTATACCACCAGACTACGAGTATCCCAACCCCTAATTTGCATCCACAACCACAGTACAGTATACCATCAGACTACGAGTATCCCAACCATCCACAACCACAGTACAGTATACCACCAGACTACGAGTATCCCAACCCCTAACTTGCATCCACAACCACAGTACAGTATACCACCAGACTACGAGTATCCCAACCATCCACAACCACAGTACAGTATACCATCAGACTACGAGTATCCCAACCATCCACAACCACAGTACAGTATACCATCAGACTACGAGTATCCCAACCATCCACAACCACAGTACAGTATACCACCAGACTACGAGTATCCCAACCCCTAACTTGCATCCACAACCACAGTACAGTATACCACCAGACTACGAGTATCCCAACCATCCACAACCACAGTACAGTATACCACCAGACTACGAGTATCCCAACCCCTCACTTGCATCCACAACCACAGTACAGTATACAACCAGACTACGAGTATCCCAACCCCTCACTTGCATCCACAACCACAGTACAGTATACAACCAGACTACGAGTATCCCAACCCCTCACTTGCATCCACAACCACAGTACAGTATACCACCAGACTACGAGTATCCCAACCCCTAACTTGCATCCGCAACCACAGTACAGTATACCACCAGACTACGAGGTGCGACTGTCGGGTGTCGGCCACGAGGAATGTAGGAGTGAAGCATGTTTGCTCCCAATGTTTGGCCAGACTCTTCAACTGTTTGGCCAGACTACAGTCAACATAAATAATGCCAAGCTGAATGTTTTTCAATTGAATATTTACTCGACCGTTTGAAACTGAATGCAAATTAATCATTGTTCGACAGATTTCTCTTCGGATTCTGTCCACAGACACACAGGACGCCATTATTAATTATATTGTAGACTGTTACTATTTGCGACTGGTTTTATTTCGTTAATAGAATTGAAAATTAATCAAAATTGGCAACTTCTCTAAATATACAAAGATTCAGATATGACAATGTTGTACGTTTTCGTTACTATACGTGAATCTCGAAGGCTACCGCTTCAATTCAGTCATTATCGTAATCATCGTAATATACATCAGATCAATTTTTTACGTTTGAATATTCAATACTATAAAAAACAGTGAACTATCGTTTAATTTCCCACTTTCACTTCATATTACGAATTGACGAACAGGAAACCCTGTAAAAGTTCTATTGTTCTTATTACTCTTGTACATGCATTAGATCTGTTTTTATGTGACAGAGTAACATATGGTTTTTGCTCGCCTCCAAGCTCTCTCTTGCTCTTTCTTTTTCATCTTGTCTCTATCCTTATTTATTGTTTCGATCTCGGATGCGACACATTACCTTTCTTGTCGACGTCGGTCAGGCGCCGTGCCGCGCCGCCTCTGTACAGGCGGTAGGTTACACTTTCTCACACACAGCTAACTGTACTACGTAATTCTTTTATCCGTGCTTTGTGTATTCTAACTTAATTTTTTTTATTAGAAGCTTGATTTACTATGAGTACAAAAATCTATGGTTGAAATTAAACGTTTATGGTTATCTTACATTTTTTGTCGTCGTTTTATTCTCAGTTAAACGGGAGATTTGACAATGAGGCATACTAGGTTTAAAAACTTAAGTAATTTGAAACACAACTTAATCGAGTAAATACAAGGGGTGGAGG